TCACCTGGTTTTTGATCCACCTCCCTTGTGCTATTCCTGTGCCAACAACTTATGTGAGGTGAAGTGTGTCCAGGAAACCTCAGAAATGAGAATCAATGTGCCCTTACATTAGACTTTCCAAGGGTTATGTTTTGTACCCTGGTGCTTTGGTTTTATTTAAAGGCAAAACGTCTTTGACAAATTACATATTATGCTAAAAAGCGCTGTACTTCTATCTTAGCTCATTTATGACTCACTAAGTTGTCAAAGTCTAAAACCCTACGTACAAGAGCCAAAAAATATTTTAACCAATTTTATCCTGCCAAATCACTAGAAAATTTTATTAATGTTATCTTAAACACTAAATTAATTAATAGAAATTTCCAGGATACTTTGATTTTCTGCTATCACTTTAAATGCTGCTTCTTTTTGTTTACAATCTTGTTTTACATTACAGCTTTTTAAACTCTTCCCAGAACATATTATCATAGCATTTTGCTAAGAAATCATACTGTCATTTTACTCTTCTCTGATGATGTGAAATTTTCTCAGAGAATGAATGCTGATGACCATAGCCCTTATTATATACATCACGATATTTATTAGTGTACATGTCCTTGGTCCCTACCAAACTTAAGAACTCTCAGAACTTTATACTCCCTGGTCTTGGCATAACATACACAAGAGGTCTCCATTTTTTGTCTACAAAAAAAAAAAAAAATAGCCAGTAAATGTTGTTTGTTTGCCCTCTACATGCTGGGCATTCCTAATTTCATTTTCTGCTTTTATTTACAAATTTTTAGGATGATTGCAGGTCAAAACATTCCCTGTGTAATAAATTTTCAATTAACTGTTTGGTTCCTTTCCTCCCATCCTCTCCCCTCCACTTTCCTTCCTCTCTGTCCCTTGAGAGTCAGCCTAGCATTTTTTTCAATAAACTATATCTTTAGCCCTTTAGTTCTTAATTTTGAAGTAGGATCTCACTAAATTGTTGAGCTGCTCAGGATGAACTCAAACTTGGCAATCTTGGCTCGGGCTTCCAGAGTGTTTGGAACACTATAGGTGTGCGCTATTACTGTGCTTGGCTAATCAATCGATATTTTCTTAATTTTGTTTCAGAATGAGATAAGAGATTGGAGCTGGGGCAAGTGGATCAAACAACTAGGCTGATTGTGTCAAAGTCATTGAGACCCAAGGAAAGTGTGCAGCTCCCGAGGACTGGGCAGGCTCTGGGCTGACTCTGCAGTTCCTGAAACAATCAGAAAAGTGCTATTTCCCAGTCTTCCTTGGCATTTGGCGGGGAGCCAAGGGCGACTTTCCTGAGGGCAGTTTAAGTCTGGTACCAGGAAAAATGCGTTTTTGTTAGGACAGCCTTGCCAGGGCCATATTTGTGTGAGTGAGGCAGAAGGAATCCAGCAGTTCCAGATAGAAGAACCCTTTCCCTTGTCCTTGGGGTGCTGTGAATTTCAGTCTGTCTCTGTCTCTGTCTCTGCAGAGCATCCTTCTTTCCCTCCTTCAATAAATGTACCACCCCTTCGTCCAATTCTTTGTTCAGGATACCAAGAACCTGGAAAAGAAATTCTCCTGGGACCCCAGCATCCGGTAACAAGGGCAGATGGACACCTGCCTACCATTGTACCAAACAGTTATCTGGCCAGCTTACTTTTGAAACATTATTAGAGCAATTCTATCGTTAATTGTTGGGGTAGAGTCTGTTTAAAAGAAACTCATCACAAATGATTTCCTGTATATCCTGGAAACTACTGTGGGTATATGTGATCAGACCCATCCCTTAATAGACCTTTTCTTTCCTTTTCCACTAAGCAAGCCTCTTTTAAATGACAATAACAAAATTAAGCTTTCAGTAATCTTAGTATTTGTTTTTTAAAAGTTTATCTTTTCCCTTTTCCCTATTTCTGCCAAATTGAAAGATAAAAAGATACAGTCAGGGTTTTTGTTTTGTTTTAGCCCTCTTGTCCCTTTTTCTTCTTTGAGACGGGGTCTCACTAAATAACCCTGGGGAGATTCCAACTTCAAATTGAATAATTGATTTGACCCATTAGCTTAGACTGTGTCCACACTAACAGTATGAAATACCTTTAAAATTATTTGTAAATTGTAACAGCATATATTTAGAAAGTAGGATTTTCTTTTTCTTGATGTGTAATGTGCACAAGGCTCAAATCCTTAAGGCTCACATCTTCCTTAAAATTCTACAATTTGGTTCAGTCAAGAATTTGGTAAGTACCATTCAGAATCACTTGGCTCTGCAGAAGCTTTAACACCCAACCACTGACATTCATGACACACACCTTTTCAAAGAAATTGCAGATTTTTTAAAAAAAATAAAAATAAATTGAAGATAAAATTTTTTCCTTACCTTGAAAAATACCTATTGGAAAAGATCTAAGGTGGCCTCATAAAAATGTAGATTCATTTGACTCTGTGTAGTGTTAATTTTTCCAATAAAAAAGCAACGGAAAAACTTAGAATTTGGACCAGATCACCTGGGTTTAGATCTCAGTTTCATATATTAAGACAGTGTGGAGGGCTTATCTTTAAGTAACTCTCATTTCTCATTTATAAAATGGAGATTGAGTTGGGCTTGGTTATGTGCACTTGTAATTCCAGGACTCAGGAGGCTGATGCAGGAGGATCCCAGCCAGCCTGGGCTATAAAATAAGTTCAAAGTCAGCCTGAAATACATTGCAAGACTCTGCCTCAAAAGTAATTAATTAATAAAATGGCACTAATAAATACATGTATCTTATAGTATTGCTTTGAAGGTTATATGGAATATAGGCAGTACCTGAGCCATAATATCTGTTTAAATATTTGCTATTATTTTGGTTCTATTAATAGCATAACACAAGTGACAGATTTTCAAAATACTGCTACATAAATGCTAAAAGCATACAAAGCTAAAATGAAAGGATTTTGAACATTCTGTCTTAGCTACTCAGTTGTGTTATAGCAAAGACTTTTATTCAGTGCCGATGTTTGAACAAAGAAACACAGGCAGAAATAGGCAAGCACTCCACCACGGAGCTGCATTCCAGCCCCCAGGCCCCAGGCAGAAATTTTTAAATACATTTTGCCCTATATAGCTTTATATTGCCTACACAAAAATTCTGCCATCATATATATGCTGCTGCTGTTGCTGGCACTTAGCATTGCTTTTCTGTTTTGTTTTGCAGTTCTAGGAATTGAATCCAGGGTCTCTTTCATTCAAGGCTGAGCTTAAGCTTCAGCACATACTTTCAGTTGTTTTGTTTGTTTGTTTCATATCTTTTCTATTTACACATTCAGTATTGGTTATACAGACTAATGAATTTCACTTTGGCAGATTGGTGGGTGTATATAACATACTTTTATTATTTTCATACTCCCAAGTATTTTTTGTCATTTTGAAGGATCTTCTCACACCTGATTATGCTCATAGCTAATGATTTTTATTGTTATTTAATCAGAAGTACTTATTTTTCCCTTAAATTCATAATTCCCAAGCCTTGAAGAAACACTAGAAGAATAAATATCTGGTTAAACTTGAGAGAACTATGCACGATTGAATGTAGTTGGCTACTACAAACCCTTATTTATTTATTTTATTCATTTGTTCATTCATTCATTCATTTTCCTTCATGTTCCAGAAAGGACTTGAGATTTACAAACAAGAAGAAATGAAACTAATGAGACTAAATAATAAGGCTGACACAAAGAGAAAGACTGAAATTAAGAAGCAAGACAAGTTGACACAGATGTGTTAACATCTGCATGCTAAATCTAGGCGCTGATTATGATTTTGTTTTTGTTTTTCTGGTGGTGAGGATTTAATCTAGAACTCCTGCGCGCTTAGTTCTACCGAGCGGAATTTGCCTTTAAGCTTTCTCAGACCCACACAAAGAGAAGGGATATTATAAAATTCCCAATACCAAGCAAGGGAATCTGATGAGACCAGAGGAAGAAGCCAGCCATTTGTTTGTCTTTCCATCCTGTCTATAGTTCCAGTCCTTCCTGTTTTACTCACCCTGAATAGCTACAGTTGTTTTACGTCTATTAAAAAGATGTGTGCGTGTGTGTGTGTGTGTGTGTGTGGTACTGGGGATCGAACCCAGTGGTGCTCTATCATTGAGTGACATCCCCAGCCCTTTTAAATTTTTTTTTTCAAAATTTGGGACAAGGTCTCACTAAGTTTCCTAGGTGAGAATTGAACTTGTTATCCTTCTGCTTCAACCTGGCTCAGTGCTGGGATTACAGGCATGCACCACTGCCTCAGCTAGGCGTACTTCTTTTTAACTCTATTGTCCGGGCCCGGTAAAACACTCCAGAGCTTGGTTCAACCTTTTTTAAAGCTAAATTTCCTAAGGACTCCAACACATGCATTCAATGGCTCATAGTAGCAAAGATTCCTGTTAGGAAGGAGAGCATCACCAACTCTGGTTACTCTCAGGAAAGTGGAAGAAAATACTCAGGTGGTTTTAGTAGATATTGAACTAATTAATTAATTAACCCTTCCTTTCAGGAAAAATGATAAATTCAAAAGAGAGAGAGAGAGACAACAATTACACTGGGTATAAATAACTAAGACACACTACTACTTAACCCCTGGATTCTATTTCAGGGAATAGGGTACAGTTAATTTTGTAAAAAGTGACTTAGCTGTTAGAAATTATCCCCTTATTAATGTATTTTTTTATAAAATATGCTTAGCTTCTTGGGTTACTTGAAGATGTCTCTTCATGGATTTGCCATTTGGTGTTTTTACTGGATTTAATTCAAGAGGAAGAGAGGAGCAGGGGAGGGGATGAACATTCATCAAGTGCCATCTATGTGTCGAATACTGTGAGGACATTTTAATGTTACTTTATTTTAGGGCTGGCATTCGGCTGGTATGTGCTGGCAGGGCTTGCCGGTAGTTTATGACCAACATCTGTTCTGATCTTTTGGTGCCCAAGCCCAACCATTTATACATTATTAAATATTTTAATGTTATGCCTATTTTATTTTAATCTTCAAAATAGACTTCCAGGGAAAAAGGAATACTGGGAGATGGAAGAAAAGACACCCTTCAGGGACCCCCAGCTCCGACTGACTCTGCCTCCGCTACGTTTCCTGGCCTCCGCTAGTTTGGTTTAAGAGCCAGGAGAGTCCTGCTTCTACACTTTTCCTTCTATGGAAGTGTCCAGGCCATGAGAAGACCTTCTTCTGGATAGTGAGGTGGAGTTTTAAAAAACTGTGTTTTTCAACTCTGGCAGTGGAGTCTTTGGCAACCATGTGGTTCCTAGCGAAGGAGAGGAAGAGAAACGTCGAGCCAGGTAGGCTGTGCCGGTTGTGGGTACCTGTTCGCATGCACGCGGCCACCTGCATTCTGGTCCCATAGTCTTAGCTAAAGGCATTGGGGCACGACAGATGTGCATGTGGTATCTGCCTACATGTCTGCAAGCAACCCGAAACTGTACCAGTCCTATGATAAACCAGAAAACCACAGCACAGAAAGGTTGACTTACTCGATAGTGGAAGAGGCTTAGAAGCCACATCTTTGGGATTCTTTAAAGCCTGTGTTCTGTGCAGGTACATATTCTGTTTCAAATTTCTTTTAGCTGAAAACCCCAACTAAATGCAATATATAGAGACCCAATATATTAACAGGAAACTAGTCTGATCTGATTAATGAGAGAGAGAGAGAGCAGAATTTCCTGTCAGTTACATCCTCATCACTTCAGCAGCCCCTGCAGCACCTCCAGAAGACTCAATATTGTGCTCCTATGAGTAGACTTGGAAAAACATTGACCTACAAAATGCTGCCACCCTCAGACCCGCTCCCTGTTGTTCACCTTGGTAAATAATTCATTCGACAAACATACTGTGTAGCTATTGCCTGCTAGACTCTAAGAATACAAAGATAAATAAATAGTGTCTGCCATCAAAAAGCGCATAGGAGGAGGAAAAGAGAAAAAAATAAGATAAAAAGTAGCCACCAGTATTGGACCTCTCTGTAACAGTTCTCGCTACTGCAAGAGAAGGGAATGCTTTGCTCTTTAATAGAGAAGCAAACTAAAATCAAAAGGGTTAAGGAATGCGTTATCATGCATCTCCTCAGGGATGGGACAGGTCTGGTCTCAGGACCAACATGCTGGTCTCAGGAATGCCAACCTAGGCTCTTTCTTCCGTCCAGACCACACACACACACACACACACGTGGGTGCCTGCATGCAGCCTGCAATTTGTTGTAAATCTACAACAAAGTAAACACCTTTCAAGATGGATTAAAATTTAAAATGCAAATCACTCAAAGGAGAGGAAAGAAAGTCCACAGAAACCCACAGATGAAGTCATTAAAATTGTCGTCATCATAACACCGCCTTCCATAACCAGCTATTACTCCACACCCATGATCTCCTTCCACTCCCCAGCAGCTCTGTGGAGCAGAAGGCCACATATTATTATTGCCATCTCACAGGAGTAGAAGTAAATCCTTGGGCTATTCCTGGAAAGTAATATGGTAAGGATGAATTTTACTTGCCTAAGGCAAAACGTAAAGTATCTAGCAGTTGGGATAAAATCCCCAACCAGCTCTCTTACTGTCTCTTAACTAGCCATGAGACCTTAGGCAAGTCAATTAACCTTTTAGACCATAATTTGCTGGTCAATACTAGTAGAAGAGCCAGTTTTTTCATCCTGCAGGGCCTTCAGCCTCAACTTGTAATGAGTCTGCAGCTTCTCAAGTCTACGAGCCACAGTCGCTGGACAAATAGAATCCACCTTCTATCCCAAAGCTTTGCACTGTTTCATGCTGCTTGCTAATATTAAACTCGAGTGAAACTTCATCATTTCCCAGGCACAGAGTTTGATCATTTATAGGACATAATTTTAAGTCTATTTGAATTATAATTAGACTGAGCTGATCGGAAAGTAGGAGAATAAACCTTGGTAGTTAGAAGCTATGAACCTTACTGTAAATCCAAGACTGTGTGAATGAAGAAACAGAGGAGAAGAATCTGGATGAACATAAAATGAACAACACTGAGAAATGTTCACACTAGGAGGCTGCACTACAGATTTTTTGGCCGGAAGGAGAGATAGATGGATTCTTTCTTACTGCACACCACTGAATTGACAGAGCAGCAACGTGTCTCAGTGTTAGAGATTTTAGTCTCCAAGTATCTGCAGAAACTTTCATTCCTCAGAAAGCAAAACACTGACAATTTCTGGACCGGCCTTGCTGATAATTTCATTTCCCAGAAGGCAGAGTAAGCATTACAGGGATCCTCCAGCTCAGGACCCAGTTTTGAGAGGAACCAGTAGGTAAAATGGAAATGATTGGAACCTTGGGGAAAAGCAGCCGTGCACTCATAGAGTTTGATTTAAGCAGTGTTCTGCCTATGCAAACACAAATGATTCTAATGAGCAAGAAAATGGGGAGGAAACTAAAGAAACCAGTGTGCTGCACAGGGACTTACTGACAGACCCTGAATTTAAAACAGCATGTGCAAAAGATGGTAAAGGGGGACACATAATCAAGCATAAATATATGAAGGTAACATAGACCTATAAAAATTCAAGAGGAAAGCACAGAATGAGCCGGGACTTTTGAAAGATACTAAAGAGAACCAAAAATGCTTTTCCTTAGCATGAAATAAAAGGGAAGATCACTAGAGGAATAGGCCCAATTTTTTTTTAAGTAAAGACATCAAATTCATTCATGGAAAAAAACGAAAGCAGTTTTTTTTTATTCTTTTGCTTCTGCCCTGTTGATTCATTCATATATAACTCTGTTCACATGTCACCACACAACACAAGGTCAAGATGGGCCTTGATCTCCCTTCTAAAAATACTTTCCAACATTCCCTAACCTTTAGACTTCTTATTTTTGCCAACATTTACTGCCATTACTTGAGTGTGCTCTTTTTCCTGCATCAGAATGTGAGCTCCATAAGCACAGGAATTTTGCTCTGTGTTATCCCTAGAACCCTATTAGAACTTCTCCATAAGTATGTTGAATGAATGAAGTCAAAATCATTAGACAATGGCTAAAAATTCAAAGATGGATAAAAGGATCGTAATGAAGATAGCACTTATTGAGGACATAGCAGGTGCCACACACTAAATATCTACATGAACTTGTTTATTTAGTCACCCCTGCCACCCTATAAAGCAGGTATTACTAAGGATTTGCTCAAAAATTGCCCAAGATTCCTTAACTAGAGAAATATAGAGCTAGGATATGAACCGAGACAGTTAGGCACAGGGTCTAAGTGCTTTACCTGTATGCTCTACTGCGATAACATAGACTGGTCTAGCTGCCAATATGTCTCTTGACCTCTATGAATTATTACCAGAAAACTAAATGGTATTGTAGAATATTTACTTGATTCCATTCAACAGATAGAGGGTGTCAGGAGACACAAAAGATAAATGCCTTATGTTCAAATAATGGCAGAACCTACAAACTTTAGATCCATAGAATTGATCTTGCTGGAGTGGGGAACATGGGTAGTCTACATTATATTTATAAAAGAACTTCAAAGCATTTTTAACAGTGATTTTAGGAAAAAGTGTAAATTCAAAAAGAATAAGATATTTACACTGATTTTATATGTTCTTTTCTGCAAGACTTAGTAAACCAGTACAAAGGACGATGATGCAAATATAGATTTCTATCAAGGAATTTAAAGTCTTTCTGTATATCCTGCAAAACAGGTGACAAAATGTGAGTTTAGGTGTTGCATTATTGTGTAACTGATCGAATGATTGCACCAGTAACAGTGGTCATGAATCTGTGTCAGCTGGAGAAATGTTTTCAAGTGGACATCGCAGACTGTTATCCTTGGCCTTGTCTGACGTGAACATATTTATCAATGACTGAGATAAAGTTATACTAGAGAGGGATGCCTGTCCAGAGTAGGTCGTATGAAGCCAAGCAAGTGGCACACTCCAGTAAGCCCTGCCACTGAGGAGGCTGAGGAAGAAGAGCGCCAGGCCTGAGTCCCACCTGCACTTCTGAGTGAGGAGCTGCCTCAAAATAAAGAATAGACAAACAGACAAAATGTGGTTGGAATAATGGTGTGATTGATCCAGCCTTGGGACCAAAACATCAGCTGCCTATTGTTGCTTTGAAGGATATGTGATTAGCAACCATATTCATGGGGAAAATTAAAGAAGCTTCGCCTGGTAGTACTCAGTAGTATAATAGGGTTAGAAAAATAAGCAACAACAAAAAATAATAATTTAGACTACAGTAATAAATGTATAATATGGATAAAAATGCAAGATATAATGAAACTATTTTTAATTGTTTAGGTTCTTATGCTCCATTCTAGGGGTAATATTTTTAAGGAAGATACAGACATGGATGAAAGGGTTACACAACTTTAAGGATTTATCATCCTGTATGGCAAAGGTGTTGAAAACCATCTCCTATGAGAAAAGACCAAACAAATTGGTGTTTCTTAGCCACAAAGTTGTTCTCATGGTTTTACTGGAACAGTATAAACATAATAATTTTAATAATTATTTGGCATTTACTAAGTTCCATGCTAACCATTTTCCATTAATTGGTACTTGCAACAACCCCAAGAAATGTTCTCTAGGTAATTTTAATGTTTTAGATTAAAAACTGAGACCAAGAGAGTTTAATATTTCCAAAGAAAGAAATAATAACAAATGATAATGCTCCAGTGTGAACCCTGCTCAGTCTTTCTCCAGTGCCTGCTCGATTACTCTCTACAGCAGATTTCCCCTACTAGATGGAAATTAAATTATATTAAGTGTGTATGTTTGTGTGTGTGTGTTCACATATGTGATGGTGAAATTATATAAAACCACAAAAACCACATATTGTAGAAAGCCAGAGAGTAGATGTATCAATATTTTAACAATGGTTGGACTTGAGTATTCCAAAAATGGCTATTTTCTTCATCTACTTCTTACAATTTTCCAAATCTTCTTTCCTAAGCTTATCCTAATTTCATAAGAATTCTACCTACAGTACCTGAAGAAAACCTTATGATTATGTGGAAAAAGGATTACCTTTATTACAAATGTGCTAAAGATGAATTAAGACGCTTTAATGTATTAGGAGGCATATTTCAGTTTAAAAATATCCATTTGTATTCAAAATTTTTCAAAGAAGAAATACCTTGACAGAATATGTTAATGCAGCTTGAAAACAGTATTTTTTGTTTGTTTGTTTATTGTTTTTTTGAAATAGGGTCTTGCTATGTATTCTAGGCTGGCCTTAAACTCATTGCCACACCTTGCTGGGAAACACTAAAATTAAATAGTTCTATTTCATCATGAATATAATCCAAAAGAT